CTGACACCTTCAATGAAGCCAAGTTTATCACCTTCAGCATGTTGGTGTTTTGCAGTGTTTGGATCTCCTTTATTCCTGGTTATCTGAGCACCAAGGGAAAACACATTGTGGCTGTGGAGCTTTTTGCCATCTTGGCCTCCAATACCGGGCTGTTGGCTTGCATCTTCTTCCCCAAGTGTTACGTCATTGTTTTCAGGGCTGATCTCAATACCAAGAAGCTGCTAACCAAGAAAAGGAATAATTGAAAATGGGGTGTTTTTTTATTCTGTTTTGTTACATGTACATTTCATATACCTTTATACTATTGTTTACTGCAGGAAATTAACTTTGTGGCTTAATATTGGCTACTAATTTTAAGTTTAAGCCAGTTGGACCAGTAAACCATGTCAGAAGTGGCTTTTGGCTGTTAGATTTACTGATCACATTATTCTGGAATCAGATCAAGACTCCACTACCATGTTCTGTCCATCCTCACTGTGCAAACTTGTACTTTTACAGCAGCTGTCATAGTTAAATGGTTAGATTCTGGTATTTTATAGTGTTTGTATGTCTTTTCTAACCAAATTCATGATACCAAAAATGGAATATACTGAGATAGTGGAAGTGTTGGCCATTTTTGCTTCTGACACTGGCCGGTTTTCCTACACCTTTTCATAAAAAATTACATTAGTCTTCTATGAAGTAAACTGAATTCCAAATAACCAATGTATAAGAGAGAGAAAAAAGCTTTATTTTACAAGGTTAGGAGGGCTTGTGCATACAAATAAATGTAGATCAGCCACAAGAGGCCTGAAACTCTAAAGGGAGAAACTCTGCTGGGTGATTAAGCTTGAAGATCATAATTGTTGGGGAAAATAAATTAAGTAATTGACATTCAACTGTGTGAGAGTTTTCTTCTTCTTACTATCTTCTCAGGTATGTTTGACACTGCTTGTAATATTCCAAATGATGGAAGAAAATGTTGAGGATCATTAGGATGAACTTAAATTGAACTGTGAACTGAACTAGTGGGTAAATATAGTTAAATATAGGTAAATATGTCCGGACAGTAGTTTTGACATACACCACCTCCCTTCATCCAAATAGGAAGGAACTATTATCCCAGTCCAAAGGCATATTCCAAGCTTGCAAATGTACTAGAGAAGGTGTGGACCAGGGCTCGCTCTCTCTCTTCTGATTTTGAAATTATACAAAGGTTCATTATGGATTTATCTCTTATATGCCTCTTCTTACCCTTCTTCCCAGCATCCTTTGTGTTAGGTACTTGGAAAGAGAAAGGCATTTACAGTAAATTGGATGTAAAAGATGTTGACATTCCATCTTTTTAATTGATTGGCTGAAGCCAAAGCAGTAGAAGGATTACTAACATGACCGTGCAGTGGCAGTGTGCCTGAAAAGTTGTGCTGATAGCTTTCTAATTAAATGAAGGAAGCAAACTGAACTGGGAAGTTAGGAATATAAGAATTCCAAAAGGTGCACCAAGAAATTCAATACAATTCACGCTAATTGAATTATCAAGGTCTATTAAAGAAATGACCGCTCTGTTGGGTACAAATTACCCATTGGTGACATATTAGTTATAATTGGTCACATCTCTCCTTCATATCCTGCGGTCTTTTTCTTGACCTCTTTCAGAATTTCTATATTGAGAGATCTAGATAAAGATAACAACAAATAAAACATCAAGAGAACAGAACAAAAAACAAACAAACTAAGTGACCTTTGGTATTTTTCCCCAATCCTAGAAAGCCAAGGTGAAATCTCAAGGTGGCTATGATTTTAATGAGATAAATATTCATTATTCACCTATCTAGATCTCAGATCCCATGGTGTTGTCATGGCCCTCTGTTTTATTCTCTGTAGTGAAGGATCTGTGGGAGCCTAGCAGTATAAATCCATAGGGATAATAGAATACAGAAAGTTTTAAGTGACTTCAGGGATTCCCCCCCCCCCGGTTTAGTTGTGTAAGAACTGTTAGAACACATTTTCAGAATAGAGAAGAAATCTCAAAGGAATCTTGTTGGGGGTTTTTAATATCAATTTTAATTATTCAGCTACCTGCATTTCAGTTATAAGCATGTGTTTAAGAGGACACACCTATCCAAGTTTTCCACTGTGTAAGTAGAATGAATAAGAGAAGAAATCCATATATATACCTGTGTATAGTAATTGAAAAAGGTAAGTGGTAAAAGTGGGAGAAGAGTATATATGGATGGGTAGATGGAAATCTTTGTGTATTTAAAGTGGTACTTTGGGCATAGTGATACAAACAAATGAAATGGCAAATAGTAAATAACTCTACTTTTTAAATGGTTATTTTAAATACTGTTTAAATGGCTTAAATTGGTTCTTTTATTGTTGATTTATTGCTCTTTTAATGTGAATACTGGAAGTCACCATGTGATCTTGGAAAGATGTAATGTGGTTTAGAGGAGGAAATGTAAATAAGTAACAAACAAACAAACAAATAAATCAGTAAGGGTGTTGGGCAAGTATCCTATTAGCACCACAACCAAGAAGAGCCTTTTCACCCCAGCAACCCACTTTACTTTAGATGATAAGATCATCCAGATGAGGGCTTCTGCATCTGACCAAAGTGTAGGAAGAGACATATATTGCAATAGGTGATCCTTCAGAAGGTCTCAAGTCATGTAGATCTTTTCTGTCTGCATACTCCTCATCACATCCTTGGTGAATTATCAATGTGTTAATTGGGTGATTTCCCCCCTCCCCAGCAGTTAAACTTATGGAAGAGAAGAATAAAGAAAGAAATGGAACGAATGTGATGGAATTCATTCTTCTTGGCTTCCCGGGATCTCAGTATTTACAGATGTCCATCTTCATGCTCTTTCTTATCATGTATGTGATGGCACTGCTGGGAAATATGGCCATCATCATTCTGGTAATAGCAAATCGTCGTCTCCATACTCCCATGTACTTCTTTCTATGTAATCTCTCCTTCCTAGAAATATGGTACACTACAGCTTCTATCCCTAAGAGTCTTGCCATCTTTCTGGGGAGGGGCAGAAGCATCTCTTTCACAAACTGCATCATTCAGTTTTACTTTGTGTTTGCCTTAGGGTCCACAGAATACTTCCTCTTGTCTGTCATGGCTTATGACCGATATTTGGCCATATGTTACCCTTTGCGTTACAGCAGTATCATGGATAGCCAGCTTTCTTTGCAGCTGGCAGCTGGCTCTTGGCTGTGTGCATTCCTCATTATTCTTATACCAGCCATCTTGATCACAAGGTTGGCTTTCTGTGGTCCCAATGTGATCAATCACTTCTATTGCAACATTGATTCATGGATAGCTATTTCATGCACCAGCACCTTTGAGGTTGAGTTAGTAGCTTTTGTTATATCCATTGTTGTCATTGTGTGTCCCTGTGTGATCACCTTTCTTTCCTATATATTCATTATCAATACCATCCTGCACATTCCTTCTGCACAAAGAAAGCAAAAGGCTTTCTCCACCTGTTCCTCCCATCTTGCTGTAGTGCTCATTTGGTATGGATCCACTATCTTTCTTTATGTCAAACTATCTAATATGTCTTCAGATATGAACAAAATAGTCAACATCTTGAACACAGTTGTGACTCCATTGCTGAATCCTTTCATCTATACACTAAGAAATAAAGAGGTGAAGGACACAATTAGAAGTTCATTGCACTGGGGTTGAACCCCACCCCACATGAGTCGTGCAATTCAAAAAGGGCATAAAAAGTATATCACAAACCTGTGTAGACCAGTGGTGAGGATCTTTCAAGGGCCACATTAGAACAATGGTACCTTCCAATCTGGCCCATGGTCTCCAAACCTCTGCCCCACCCCACATGAAAATTTGGCTGTAAAAGTGAGTGATTTTCTTAAGTGTTGCAGCTGGGAAGTAAAGGGCTAACTAGGGTGCACTGATATTAGGGGAGATAGTCCAATTCATGTAAATGAGACTTTATTATAAGTTTACTTGCTGAAAAGGGGGGGTACCCCTCACCTCAACAAATACCACCATATACAGCAAATGGGCTTTGGAAATTGTCTGATTCATGATGCTGCTGTGGAGGGAAGTTTGGGGTGGGGAAGGTTATTAACCTTTTGCTTTTCAACAGTGCCACTTTCCTGAAAATGATCCTATGGCTATTAGGCTTGCAGAAAATAGTTAAATTACCCAATTGTGCAGATTAGGGGAGGGAATAGGGTATGGAAGAAGATGAAGGGATGAGAGAGAGAAGGGTCAAGTCTGTGTAAAGGATAGTGGTTTAATTGACATGGAAATGAGAATGCCAAAATATGTATTGGTGAAAAAGTTTAAGATGGGGATTTTTTATAGGGCTATATTAAAGCCAAGGAGAGCACCCTGAGCTCTTGCTGAGTTAATGATTGCTGTTTTCTGGAAACTAATATGTGAGTGTTGTAACCTTAGATAATGTGATGAAGGTATTGGGTTGCAAGTCTTCATTTTGAATGTAGTTGCTTTTGTGTCTTTTGTCTCAAGGCTTTGTGAAGTCAGGACATGCAAAAGACCCTCTCTGACTGAGAGAGGGAGAAAACATACCTAGGCTAAAATGGATGTTTTGGGAAGAGACAGACCTTTGTTCCTAGGTCTGCTGCAATTATTTCATATTTCAAAAGCTGCTGAGCCTGTGCTGGAAGCACAAGACATTGTAAGGGTGTTTTGGATGTATAATTTACTGTACTCTGTTTTGTTTCCGAAGAGTTCTGCTAGTAAAATTTGAATAAGATTTTCATGGGTCTGGACAATGTTTCATTTCCAAAAGGAGTCAGTTTTCATGCATCCAGTCACTTCAAGCTGTGCAATATTAATATTTGTAACAGTCTGTTTCTGCCAGCCAAGCAACTCCATGTCTGGGTTGTTGTGGCCAGCTTAGGATGGGGCACATGCCTTTATAGGTATTGTCTGTGCCTCTCAGCATAGCATCAAAGCAAACCAAAAATGATATATCAAAGCAAGCAGATAAATATATGCACGTCTAGGAGAAGATAGCTCCATCAGTAGAGCATGAGATTCTTAATGTCAGGGTTGTGGGTTTGAGCCCCATGTTGGGCAAAAGATTCCTGCATTGCAGGGGGGTTGAACTAGATGACCCTTATGGTCCCTTCCATCTCTACAATTCTATGATTCCCACAGCAGATACCAATTAGTCCCAGCCTTATATTGAGTATAAATGTGGTGTTTACAGGCCTTCCAGGACATTTTCAACATTTGGTTCTACACAGCTGGAAAGGGTGCAGTAACAACTTTCCTGACTATACACAAAGGGACGTTTGGTCTCAAAGAGGGCTGTCAAAAGTTGTAGTAAGCTTTTATGAGCGCCTCTTCCTTCTTATGTATTTTACCCTTGCCATTCACCCACTATGGTTTCTCCCATTGGTTTATCTTTAAGGGCATGGGAATTAAAGGAAACCTCTGGTTTTGATGGCATGCCATATATGTACAAAAACAATGGTTAATTTCATTCCAAACGTGAGGAAATTTTCTACACATTTAGAAGAAACCATTCTGTTCCCAGCCTGCATAAATGGGGTGATCTACCCAGGATTTCTCCCTAAATAAGGGATAGACAATATTTTCTCCTGCAGAATAACATTTTCTCCATCCAACAACCACAGCCAGCATGGCTAGTAACCAGGGATGATGGTAGGTAGGCAGTTGTAGGAGAACAACATCTGGAACATCACAGGCTCCCTATCCCTGGTCTAAATATTGCAAATGAAAGCAATTGTGCTCAGCCAACCTCACTGTGAAGCAGGTGATATTTTCTCTATTTCCAACGAACAGAGGATATATGACACCAGGGAGGTATTTATCTACTCAGCAATTATGAAAAGCACTATTATTCATTTCCTTAGTCTGCAACAAGAAGAATAATAAGATTTTTTATAATAAGGAGTCTAAATTTTGAGCTCACATGAGAACTGGTTCCAGTGTGACACACAGGGTGGGTGGTCTGTGCAAGAAGGATAGGGATAAATGTACTATCTACTGCTACTGCTGTGAGTGTGGTGAAACATGTTATGCAAGTGTAGCATGGGTAGGCATGCTTTTACATGCAGACACTTGCTGTTGCTACTACTGTGGCAGCTGCAGCTCCCTCGTTTTGCCTGTGCAGAAATGACAGGAAAATGCAGAAATATCCAAGAGCATTTGTATAAGCCTGGAGAAGTAATCATTGGTGGCATTCTTTCTCTAATACAACCTTTGGAGTATTCACTCAATTTTACAGCTGTTCCTGATAGCAATCATGATGGTGCTGTGTAAGATTTGTACAGTATTTACTAGTAATCAGTTTTGCCAGATGGTATTAGATTTATTATCAATTTAAACTTCTGAACTTCAAGAAGTGCTTTTCATATTGTATTACTGAAGTTAATGGGAAAGCTGTAGCATTAAATTTTGTTCTTGTAATAGATTTATTAAAGGTCCAGAAGCTACCAAAGATCTTTGAAGAGCTACCCACTCAAACACCTTAAACTATAGATCAAAAGCCCACCCCTTGTTTTCCTAAAGAAATGGAAGAGGAGCCTGTTCACTGTATTCCTACTACAGTGGATTTTTCGGTGCATGCGCAGAAGCACTACTACATGTGCTTCTGCGCATGCACTGAAACCCAGAAGTAACCCGTTCTGGTACTTCCGGGTTCGGCGAGGTGCACAACCCAAAATCATGCAACCCGGAGCGTCTGTAACCCGAAGTATGACTGCATATGATAAACATAATAAGCATGGGACTGGGGTGGGAGAGAGAAAGCAGTGCAGGGTTCATGAAGAAAGTATCCTGACCAGCCCCACTCCCCCCCATCTCAGTGTGAGAGTTCCACATCTACTGTTACAAATCTTCTGTTACAAATTTTAACTCCAGCTGATCCCAAGGACAGAGTGCTGAATTTTGGTTGCATCTGGCCCAGTTTTAGAATGAAATATTCTCCCCCTTCCCCGCCATTGAACAACTCTACTCACACATGCTGATTCAAAATACATTCCCCTGACTCACACTTATTTTCTGATCTTAACCCTCATTTATCAAGCTAGAGTGTTTTGTTTGGCTTTGCTTTTTGGAGCAGGAGGTCTGACAGCTCTTCTTTTATACCTGTGCTACTAACTGCAATTTATGTTCTCTCTAATTGATGTTTCTAAGTCTCACTCTCAACCTCATTGCAGTGTAAAGTTAAAACATTATCAACATGTCTTTGCCTTGATTTTTGCCATCCATGAGATCAATGACAACCCAGGGCTCCTGCCCAACATCACACTGGGGTTCGATATCTATGACAACCTATTTAACTCCATAGGAACATACAAGGTCATCCTGGATCTACTTTTCAAGCAGAGAAAGAATATGCCCAATTACAAGTGTGACAGAAAAGATGTATTGTCTGTTATTGGGGGATTCAGTTCAGAACACTCTATGCAGATGGCCATCATCTTAAGTAACTACAAGTTTCCACAGGTATATGCATATCAATATATATATGAATGAATTCAGCAGTGTTTAGTTTGCTTTTCATTGTTAGTATGTTAGTGTTGTAAATATTGTTTTGTCGATTATAAGTGCTGTAATGCTTTGTGAATGTTATAATATGACTTTTCTTGTGGTTGTTTTATCTGTTCAATCTATTTTTAAAGTGGTTCTGTTAATAGTGTTTTATAGAAGTGCTTATTTTATTTATAATTTGTCAATTGTTTTATATCATTTATGTTGCAATTGTGATGTTCTACTATGTTATTATTTATTGTATGTAAACTGCTTTGTGACTCATGTGAGTGAAAAGCAGCATAGAAATATAATAAATGAAAATGAAATGAATGGTGTCCATTTGCTGTTCAATTATATTCTTTCAATTTTCCCTTTATTATAAATAAAATTGAAGAAAGGAGTAGTTGGTTCTCAAAAGTGCCAGTTATTAATACTTATTGAAGCTGAATGTCTTTGAGAACTGCAGTTTCTTCTTCAGGAGCAATCTAGAGATAAATAAATAAAGTAAAAATCAACTATTGACATACGTACAAAATACAAATTTTGTAGAATATTCAATGCTTAGATTTATCAAATAGAGAAATGCTACATTTATTTATTTATTTATTTATTTATTTATTTATTTATTTATTTAAAATGCAGCCTTTATTTGGGATCAGTATATAGCACTCACCCTGTGGAATGCCCTCCCATCAGATGTCAGGGAGATTAAGAACTACACAACTTTTAGAAGAAATCTTAAGGCAGCCGTGTATTGGGAATTTTTTTAATGTTTGATGTTTTGTTAAGGTTGTGTGTGTGTGTGTGTGTGTTGGAAGCCACCCAGAGTGGCTGGCACAACCCAGCCACATTTTTTTTGGGGGGGGGGAGTATAAAGAAAATTATTCTTACATTTATATATGTTTATATTGGTTAGAGTAGGACTTTCATTATTTCATTTATTTCAATAGATCTACTCTGAGTATGGCTAAAACCCATTCGTTTTACACATGAAGAATAAAAAAATAAAGAAGCTAGTATGTTTATGGGACCCTACAACAAATACCTTCGGCTATTTGTCAAGAAGCATAAGAAATACTAAATATAAGAGATAATCTCCAGATTGTTAGCTTTTGGTGCAGTTTCCTATAATGGCAGAGTGGATTTTTTATTATTATTATTCTTTAGAGTTTTAAAATCATATACCTCTGTTTCTTAGCTCACTTTTGGTTCATTTGAGGCTGCAGTAAGTGGGAAAAGTGATTTCCCTTTTTTGTACTGGATGGCACCAAGGGAAACTACGTACCATATGGGGATCATCCAGCTACTCTGGCATTTCAAATGGACATGGATTGGCCTGGTTGTATCTGATGGTGATGCTGGGGAAAACTTCGTGCAGAAACTGACTCCTTTGTTTTCCCAGAACAACATATGTGTTGCCTTCTTGCAAAAGGGTACAGGAAATGACCTTGCTCTTAAACATAACATTAAAAGAATTATAGTGATGGCACAAACACTTATTTTAACTCATGCCAATGTGATTATTCTTGCAATGGACTCTCTCTTATTCCATATATTAGTGTTGTCCTTAGAAGGCATTGAATTAAAGAAGAAAGTCCTAATAGGGAAGGTCTGGATCATGCCACCGCGGTGGTATTTCAGTACCTCTCCCAATGGAGAATTGATTGGCAGGGACATTTTATTTGGTGCCTTTTCTTTCTCAGTCCACACAAATGTGGTGTCAGGATTCCAGGAATTTCTTCTGAACATAAAGTTTGATAAAACACTAAGGACATTCCTCTGTTTAGTCTGGCAATTTCTAATAAATCAATGTGAAAGCTGTAGAGGAGTGGAGAATCTGGAGGATCTTCATTCAAATGTTTTTGAGATGGATATGTCTGGTGAGAGCCATGGTATCTACAATGCTGTCTATGCTGTGGCACATGCTTTGCATGCTGCATATTTTTCCAGACAAAGAATAATGTTGGATAAAGGCAAAGTGGAACATGTGAATTTTCACCCATGGAAGGTAAATAAATCACTCTGAGGGTGGAATTTGGCTATACATCATGGGATAATGGGCATATTTTGAATTTTGAGAATGAGTCTTGGCCACCAGTCACAAAATGGTTTCCATGGGTATTATAGGACATACTTTTGGGTTCAATGGCATCCACAGGTTCAATTTGGGCTCCCTACTCCTGGGAATGTCCTTGTGTGGTTGTCTGAAGCTGCTGAGGGGTATGTGTCTATTTTTTTATGTTTAGCAAATTGCTGTGGGGAAATTCTCTTAAGATGTTAAGTAAAGTATTGGGGGGGTAGAATATATTTTTCTCCCTCCTCAACCCAATGAAAGATAAATGGAGAATATGGAATTTGCTAACTATTTTGTGACATTTTAGTTGCCCTTCTATCAATTTTGGATTTGCTTTTGTAGGCCAAGATGACTACCTTACTTTTATAAATAAAATAAAACCAAATAACTGACACCAATGAATTCAAACTGAGAGGTTGTAAGTTGATAGGGAACTGACGAAAATATTATTTCCATGTTTATGTTAACAGTAGTTTGTAGATGTCTGAATGGATGAGAG